CTCTGCTTTATTAAACAGGGAAGCATTCTTGGAAGCCAGAGCACTCAGATTTGATCAAAGATGTTATGCAAACCATTTATTTTAATTTAAAGCAATATCCACTTCTTCCATTATTAACAGCTTTGAATTACTGAGACTGAATAATTAACAAATATTCCTACTTGATGATAGATTATTCAAAAGGCAGATGTACAGAAACATGCCCCAGGTGAACATCCTTCCTGCAACCCCAGTGATGCATATGCCTATTTAATGTTCCCCAGGGGAACAATGCAACATGGCACGAGAGAAATACTCTTTGGAAACATCTCCTAAACACTTCCGAGACTATTATCACAACAAATGCTCCAGAGATAAGTGCACCAGTGTGTGTTTCTGACCTGCTGGTCTCTGTTCAGAGCCCTGGGCTGTGGCCAGCCAAGTCAAATGATGCAGACCAGGATGCCACCACTTTCAGGGCAGGGTTTCCTCTGTATAGCAGATGGGAAATGTGGGCTTAAAACATTGCTCTGCTTCCTGGCTGAAGCTGAAGCACCCATCAGCCTTCAAGCAGGGCAACATCTGGTGAAATGTGGCTCAGAACTGGTCACCTTTGGCATTTCCAGAGATTGTTTAGATGAGTAAAACTCAAAATCCCTGTGGCACCAAAGAAGACCTGAGGTGGGTAATTCTCTTCAGTGTCTGTTGACTTGCACAGCTCTTTGCAGCTGATGAAGCTGGAAGGGATGAAGGTCTCTGTACCAGGCAATAAGCTTGTTCACTGGGGAAGGTTTCTGGCAGCAGAGAGCAGATCTAAGTCTTCACCTGCTACTATGGTCCCTGTGCTTCTTCATGAGCCCAAATGAGAGGAGTGCCTTTAGAATCAGAGCAGTTCTCCAAGGAACTGGACAAATCAAAATGCCTCACTCCTCCTCTTTACCTCCCTCCCTGGGATGAGGCCCAAGGGCACCCTAATACCAAGTATCTCTCCCTGGTCAGCACAGCCTGAGAGCCAGCGTCCCTGGAGGGGACAGGGATCTCTCAGCAGGCAGCCTCAAAACTCTGAAAAGAAGAGCCAGCCAGCAGGTTCATTCACCAGCCCCCCTCCCAAAGCACTGTATGGTGGAGGGGGAAGCCCCATCCATGGACAATGGCCAGCTCACCCCCCGGCAGGGCTCGGGGAAGAGGGAGGTGTCTCTCTCCTCTGTACACAACGCAGAGTGCAGATGCAAGGTGCTCAAATAACGCGGAGATGAGAATTGTTTGGGAACAGCAGAAGGACGGGCAAAACTCGATAAGACAAAATATACATCTAACTTGGCCTGGTTCTGTTTGAACTAAACCATCATCATCCTCTTTACCCCTGTGCCAGCGTGTGTGTGCTGCCGTGCTTACTCGGAGGAGAAGGAACATCTTTTGTATGGTGCTTTTCAGTGGGGTTTGATGTTTTGTTTCACAGATGCAGCCGCAGAGCAGTGTCAGCCTATTGTGCAGGATGATTTAGGCAGGTACAATTACAGCTCGGCAGTGAAGGTGCCTTTGATCCCGGCATCCCCATTGTTCCTGAGTCTTTTCATCCCTCTGGGTACCCAGCTAGAAGGCCTGTGCCTGAGACCTTGTTTAGAAGCTGTTTACTTGCAATTTCCCCTTAATTTTCAAGGCGTCTTTTTCTGCTGATGAACTTTATTAATGAAGGCTCTGCCATTCGGTTGTGCTCAACATACTGATGCTTGGCAAGTGTCTGACTTTCCCCAGTCATGCAGCAGCCATCTGCAGGCAAGTGATGGGCCTTGAGGTGGGAAGTCGGTGGGCCCAGAGCACTCTGTGGGGCTCCAGAGGAGAATCACCTTGTGCATCCTGCTGTGCGTGGTGCCCACGGGGAAGGACCCGCTCCCAGGTGCTCATCCTTCTCCAAAGGACTTTGCTGCAGTGCAGGTTCACGTGTCAGCAATTCCCAGCTTCCTGCCTCCCAAAATCTCCAAGGCAGGACTTGGCTTCTGGGGAAAATTAGGTTTTTCAGGTCAGATGTATGTAGAGATGGATGGGAGAGAGGGAAGGAGTGACATCCTATTCTAGGAGCAGCCACGTGGCCAGTGACTGGTTCTGTAGGGTGGCTTGGGATTTTAGTGTTAGGATAAGGAATTAGAAGTCAATTACCTTTAATTTTGAGGAAAGAATCTCTGTATGCAGTTTGGAGTGGCCACTGGTGACTGAGAAGCACAAAAACTGATGCCATTTGCTTGATTTTGCATTTAGCATGTTACTACGAGACCAAGGAGGAAAGATGCCCAGAGACAGTGTTCACAATGTATTGAGAGTTTGAGAGACAGACCAGAGGGAGGAAGGCAAAGGAATCCACCAAGAGCTGTTAAACACAAGGCCACTGTGGCGCATGGGAGGCACTGCTATATGTGTGTAGGCATTTCATCTCCTAGAGGCCACTGGCAGACAGAGTGATGGATGAGGCAGATCCTTTTGATGGATAGGGTTGTGGTTTTTTTCTGTCAGAGGGGAGGAAGTATGACTGGACCAGTGTAGGCAAATTGGAGGCAGCAATTGCAGTATAACTGCAAGAACTGCGGAAACAAAATCCGCTCGTTGCAGGAGTTGTCCAAGAACTAATGACCCAAGGTGTCAGGAAGCAGTGCTCTCCCATAAATACTGGGAAAGCTACTTTTAGTTCAGACAGAGCCTTGTCAACATTTCTGAATGCACCGAAGGATTTGTCCAGGGCTATCAGCTTCTTGGAGTCTTAATTGCTGTCATTGAAGTTGTGCTAAGTTCAGTAGATGACTCTTTCTAATTAAGTGCAAACTCTTTCAGGTGCTAAATAAAAACACCTCTTGACTTTGCCTTTCTCCTATCTTAGGATCTATAATTGGCTTGCAGAAAAATAAGTGTCTTGCTGGATGCAGCCCCATGGCTGCGTCTGAACCCTAGAGACATTCCTCTGTTAAGCATGAGTGGATTTACTGACGTTAGCAGTGAAAAACGGCAGGGCAAAAGAGGCAGTCATGCCTGTGCCTCTGGGCTGGGATCATTCATTCCAGCCCAGGATAAAATCTGTTTCCTTAGCAGGTACCCTGAGCCACCCGTACCCCCTCTCCTGGCACACTGGTACCCCAACAACCACCTCCAGAAGGACACCTGCCTGGCAGTGCTCAGAGAATTTTTGCCTGAAAACTCCGTAGAGAGGTGGGGTACACCCAGCTGTCCACTCTACATGACGTTTATTAATCTCTTAGTTTTATCACAGGAGGTTATCTGTAACTAAAAGCTATCTGTGCTCTCTCAGGTGAGAAAGCACTACTTGGCTTAGAGACATACGTTGATGAATCTAGAATGTGTAGCTGCCTTGGAACTCTTTCTTATTATAGCCAGATAATTGCACTTGTTTTTAAGCCTGCATATATCTGCCTAGTGCTGTGTTTTTGTATGAAACTGGTGTGACTCCAGGACATCTCCTTTCCTCTTCTTTATTTGCTTATAGCATCCTCACCCATCTGGATGAGCCTGTACCCAGTGATGTATTTCCTTGTACAACATTGAAAATCAAGGAATTCCTAAGATACTGTACATAATCAATATGAAAAGTACAACTTCAGCAAGCTGCAATCTGACTACTGGTGTGTCTGGCACTGGGGAGAGAAAAGTCATACTCAAAGTGACACTGTTTTTGGGGACAAAAATGGAGATTGTGATTAAATGGATGTTCTACAATGCAGGCTCAGGGTGAAGTCAGTCACTAGAAGCTTATTAACGCGACACGGGTAGCGGAGGCAGGACTTCAGCAGTCTCTAATCTTTTTCAGCTTTGCCAAAATCAGGAGAATTCAGTGAGATAAAGTGTAAAAGTCTGGAATGTATTTAGTAAATAAAAAGTGACCTCAGGGGAAGTCAAAGTAAAACAGAATAACAGTTCAATTTTTCAATTACCTGAGCAATCTCACAACATTAATCCTGGGGGCCGAATACCAGCTCCGTACACTGTGAAGAAATTTCCCTGATGAGTTAGTGTCAACTGCTGCTCTTAATGCCAGTTTATTTCTAGACACACTTGATAACACAAACAAACACCCATTCTCACCCGTGTAATGTAATAGGGAGAGTTACACAAGCAGGTGAAGGTTTAGGATGCATTTTGTTCTGGATACATAATTAGAAATAGCTTTAATGGCAAAGTGGATCAAAATTTTGTAAAAAGATCAATTATATGAGGAATAGAACACTATTGCATCTGTGTATTACCTTCCTGCTTTGCAGGCTCCAAAAAAAGCCCCAACACTTTTTTGAAACATTTCACAAGATATTTTTAGAAATGCAGACTTAAAATTATGTCCTCCTTTCTCTTCATTAACTAAAAGAAATTATTGATGTCAGGATAGGGAGAAGTTGGGCACTTCCTTTTAAAAATTTTTTATTTTGTTTTCCCGAATTCTAGAAAAGTTACCAAGTGAAAAAGAAAAAAAAAAGCCAGGCTGCTTCTTGTTCTGTGGCACGGAGTGAAGGGAAGAGAAAATAAGGGAAAATATTATATAGGAGATTTCAAAATTCAAGATGTAAAATGCTCATCTTGAGGAAAACCTTGGGAAAAAAATGTAAAAAAGAAAGGAAAGGAAACCAAAACACTTTTGCAGAGAAAATAACATTATTTATTGGGGTGAAAAGAGAATGCAAATATTTTTGTCCAGAGGCTCTGAATTGGAAGGGACTTTGGGAAATTGGGCACGGTTCACTCCAGCTCTCAGAAGTGGGCTCCTACACCATACATGTCAGCTTATCCACCCCTGGGAGACCTGGGTGACCACAGACACTGTAGGTATCCTCTGCTTGTAGCCCTTCTGCTGCCTCGCAGCTTTCCCCATAAATACGAAATGCTCTTTGTTAATAGTCTTGATGGGGAGGCTGCCTTGCTGCACCGGTGGTGGAGATGCTGCTCTTACACTTGGCAATCCCCTCCCAGTGCTGCTGCATCTTCTTTTCTTTTTTTTTTCTCTTTTTTTTGCCCTGTGTTCTCCCCAGTTCGAGTGAGGGCTTCGGTGTAGCGGAGAAGATCGTGCTGCTCACCTTCATCTCCGCCGTTATACTGATGGCCATCCTGGGGAACCTGCTGGTGATGGTGGCTGTGTGCCGGGACAGGCAGCTCAGGTGAGCCCCCCTGCCCCCCCACTGCCCTTCCACGGGGTGGCACAGGGGAGAATCCCCACCTAAAAAGCCCCGTGCCCGCAACTGAGGGCATAAACTGCCACGATGAAGGGTCCCTCTGCCCAGATGTTGCACCACAGCGATGTCAGACTCTCACATTCGCCTCAGTGCATCCCCACTCAGATCATTTTAGTATCCATCCTCTACATTTTTAGCAGTCTCAGTGTAAAAAAACCAGATAAATCAGTGAAAAACAGATCTATGCAGCGATTACTTGGAGAAGCGAGTTGGCCTCTACCCTTTTTCCATCTCAAATTTCCTAACAAGCCCATCAGAAAGACCACACAGATCAAGGTCCTGTTGCAGTTGTGGTGCTCTGCTGCAGCTTGATAAATGCTGCCAGTGATTTGGGGGGAGGGAGGGAGGGTGGTCACAGGCAAAACTCCTGTCTCGAGGCTTGCTGCTACCCCTGGGAGTTGTCAGACCAGCCTCGGGAGCAGAATGAGATATTCAACAGCCTCTATTCATATTCTGCGTGGGATTTTTAATGGATTTAATTCTATTTTATTGTTATGATTTAAAAAGTACTCTTCAAGTTAAAATTACAGCTTCAGTCTAGATTGTTCTCAGTGCTTTCTGGAAGGATTTTTCTCATTTTACAAGTAAAAATAAAGTCCCCCTCCTCCACCCCAAATTCTCCGATGCAAGCTGTGAGACTGAGCTGCACGCAGAGGCCTGTGAGCATCTATTTGCATCTTTGTGAGCAGAAAGATGTGTTTATGCAGGGAACCCAGTGGATATTTAGGTGTAAAAACCAGGAACAAGCTAGAGGTGACCATATAAAGTGAGGAGTATGTTAGAGAGGACCTTTCAGGGTGATGGGGCAAATCAGACCCAAACACAAGCTGAAATCTCTGTCCACATGTAGAAGATGCTGGACTGAGACTATTCCCCCCTAACGTTGTGATCTGTCTTGCAGGAAAATCAAGACCAATTATTTCATTGTTTCCCTTGCCTTTGCGGACCTGCTGGTGTCAGTGCTGGTGATGCCGTTTGGAGCCATTGAGTTGGTTCAGGACAACTGGATCTATGGAGAGATGTTCTGCCTGGTCCGAACGTCCCTCGATGTCCTGCTCACCACGGCGTCAATCCTGCACCTCTGCTGTATCTCGCTGGACAGGTAGGAACAGAAGAGCAGAGAGAATAATTATAGTTGCTTTAAGTTTCTTCGGCATTGTGCTTGTCAGCTGTAGCCAAAGGGCAAATATGAACCTGCTGGGAACGGTGAGCAATAAATCTCTCCTGATAGCTGATTTTTTAGAGAGCTCTCTGAATCCTCACCAGTTTCAAAACTTCGAAAGGAATGAGATTTACATTGATAGAGCAAGGTTTGCTTGTTGGCTTTTTGTTCTTGGCTGCTTTGCAGCACAGCTCTGTTTGCATTACTGATCAGATGTGGCACACTTTCTTCATCAAAGTGAAGAAAAGATGCCTTAAAAAACCAAAAGGAGGTGCATCGTGCACAGGATGTTGTTTTAGCAGGGACGCTGCTGTCAGGCACTGCTCGCTGCCAGGGGAGGCAGAGGAGCCTTGGCTGGTGCAAGGCTTGATGTGTTTGCTGAGCCCTGTCTTCCCAGGAACCAAAGCACTGAATTATCTGGCTTCCTCTCTCATGTCAAAAACATATTTAACATATCTTTCAAGTGCTATCAGAACTGTTCTTCCTGCTGCTAGCAGCCATAAGGGCAGATGAAAACCGATATTACTAAATGCCATATTGAGGCATATATTACTACATTATTGGGAGAAAAATATAAAGGGCAGTTCCTCCCCCCACCCCAATTTTATGGGCTGTTTTTCTGATGTGTCTATTTGTACATCTCCACCAGTGAAGGCTAACAAGGAGGTAAATAATGCTGGTGAAAAGGATGCACAGGCTTTGTGGGAGATCCTAAAAATTTTATTTTCTCTTAAACTTTTCTTGCAAAATTAAAATGAAGCCAAAATCCTAAATAGTTTGTGGCAAACAATTCTGTTTTACTCTTGTCTGCACTTTTTTGGGATAGATGGCAGAACTTTCCATACTGAATAGCAAGAATTTTTCACGGTATAAATACTTAGAAGAAAGCATCTTGACCGACTAATCTAATAAGCAATATTTAGAGCTTTCATTTGACTTCTGTGCAGACATTTCAATACTTTTTAAAATGCTATTACTTAGTATTACTAATATGGCCAAATAACCATAATCATTTTCGTCATCGTGACAACTGGTATTTAAATCGGGTCTTTCATCCAAAGAGTCTGTCCCCAGCCAGACTTCAAAAGGTACTTGATTAACTTCTCCATTGATGGGCACTGCTCTTTTATTGTGGGAGAGAGGGGCACCGGCACACGCAGTGTTGTGTCCAGAGAGAAGCTGACATGTAATAGCTACAGCACGTTTCCTTATCTGGAAGTTTAGATGGCTGGAACACAGATAGGAAGCTCATTATCTTAAAAACGTTGACAAACTGCCACTTTGAGCCAATTACCAGTAAAGCAGATGTGCTCTGGATGTGGCCTTGTTATATAAAATGTTGGGAGTTTGGTTCTCCGGGCTCTTAATTAAACATAGGGGGTTGTGTAGGGAAAGGGACATGCAGGGAAAATAGTGGTTTCCACCCTCCACTTCACCCCCTCATCTCTGACATCCACAGGGGATGAGGGAGCTCCCGTGTGGGGTGCACAGAAGGGAAACTCCCCCCTTTCTCCTGCCTCTGACACCCTCTTCCAGACACTTCCCCCCCCCAACATCATCACCTCTTGCTCTCGCTCCCTGTCCCCCTTGGTCCCCACGCTCCTGGGACAGCCTAGTCTGGGGTGGTGAAGGGGTTGGGGCAGCCTTGGCTCTATGGCAGCCGGAATGTGTGGCTCAGAGTTAATGTTCCAGGGCTACAGAACAGAGATCAGTTTGACACGGGAAGGTTTTCTTACTGTAAACAGACCGGAGGCAGTTTGCAAACACTCAGCTCAGTAGAAGGAACTGGAAATGGAAGAAAAAAAACCCAACCAAAAAAATAAAAATAACCCTAAAATAAGATGGATTAGATTCTTCTGTAGTAAATGAAATATTCAGAGTATGAACACCTGGAGAGGACTACAGCTCTGCTCTTCCTTCTATGCTCTTTTATTCTCTGCCCAGGGAGTCTTGAATTCTCTCTGCCAGATGTGGGGCTGCTGTTGCAATGGGTGAGGGTCTCTGCCTACAGACACACAGAGATGATCCCCCTTCTTTTGGAGAGTGGGAAATGGGGAGCTGACTCTGGGGACCCCCACTCCATCCCCCCATTCCAAGCCAATACTTCAGTCACTAGAATACGACACAGAGGAGGCTGTCTTGAAAGAAAGCAGGAGCTGTAACCGTGTTTTGGAGGAAACATTCTCCAATTCCCATAGCACGCAGTTGCACGTGTGTTCTGTGGAAGGTGCAGCCCCCCCTGCCCTGGGGTCTGAGGGTGACGGGCACTGCACTGTCTGGGATACAGAAACACAGCAGCAATTCTTCACCGCTGACAAACCTGAAAATGCCAGTTGTCAGGGAATTATTTCAGGGGACACAAAGGCTCTTTCGCATGTTGCTTTTCTTTGCTCTCAGGCAGAGAGAGAGAAAAGGTTCTCCAGGCTGGTGGCTGGATGCGGCCTGACATGGATAATTATCTCAGCCTTTATCGTTTGCTTCGTGCTTTCACACCAAAGAATGACGCCTCTGCAGACTAGCTGCAGAGCTGATCTAAATTTTAGATAATTCTCTGGTACTGTTTTTTTCTGGTTTATCTTCTCAAATTGGCTTTATTGAGTGCTTGTTAGAGCAATGACCACCACACACAAGACCATTAGCAGAACACTAACAGCAGCACCCCCAAGGCAAGCTGCTCCTCTCCAAAGGCACTCAAATTTGCCATAGAAACTTTTCTCTGTCGTCTAATCTCTGCAGAGCATATATAGCTCTCCTAGCCGTACAGTCTTACTGTAGAAATTCATCTTGGATGCTATTTTGACTCCATGGGTAATCATTTGGAGTTTTGCCACTGACATGAAAAAAAGCCAGGATCTCATTTCAGGCGTTTCAAAAGCTGCATTTCTCCTCCCAGTACGAGAAGGCACAATTATGTCTGTGTTTGCTGACAGTGAGTGTCAGCTGAAAGAGAAAGCCCAAGATCTCTCTGTCTCATGTGAAGAGGAGAATCCCAAGTCAACTGTGTGGCTTTCATCACTTGCTGTTTGATCAGACACCTCAGTATGAATCTGATTGATTCCCAAGACTATGGGCTTCTGGGTTCTCCCAGGACCAGATGTCCAGTTCAGCCTGCCCACCACAGTGCTCAAGGCAGACCAAGGTACCTCCTGTAGCACTGGGCCAGCTCTCCTGAAACTGCTGTAAATGAAAATATGTAGGTGGGTCAGCCCCTAGTCATATTCCTCTCTTAAAGTTGTATTTCTTCCTCTGATTGATTGACTGACTTGTTAACATGATTTTCGAAATACAACTAAGTAGGACACCAGTAGGGTACTGTAACCATTGCTGAAGTTATTTAACTTACACCTGGACATCATCCTTGAGCACAGCAACAGTCCTAACCCGACCAGGAATTTCTGTGCTAACTCATGAGCTCTTTCATGTCCCAAACAGTCTATTAGAAGACTTCCTTTCTTCCAGAATTATCACTGTATATGTTATTTCACATTTCTTCAGTGCTTGCTCGCTGGCATGGTCTGGCAGTCTGATTAGGTAAATCAGGAAACACTTTGTATAAAAGCAATTACTGTCCACCACACCAGCAGCAGACCTTGATGCTTGCAGATCCAAAACCTGATGCCACTTAACTAGCAACACTGTCAGATCTAAACATTCAAAAAGACGAAGGATATTAATTTTTTTCCTGCTAGGCCTGTTTGAAAAACCACTTTCCAATTGAAATGAAACATAAGTTCTTTCCCTCCCTCTCTCAGAGGAGGTATTTAGGTGAAAGAAGACAGGGAAACGTAGACATTTTGATTTTGGCCCTTACCACATCCCTTCAGACATGCCATGGTCTCTGCCTTGCTGCATTGAGGGGGATATTACACTTGTGCCATATCCTATAGCAGTTCATCTGCTGCCAGTGACAGTCCCCCCTCACTCCTGTGTCCTTTTCACGGAGATAAATTCACTTTTGCTGCCATGAATTTGGCTGCTGTTCCAAACCTCCTAGGCAAGCAGGACAACAGGAATTTTCAACACAGCTTGGGTGGAGTGGTGGATACAGAATAAAAGATCCATTTTCCACAACAAAAGGAAGCTTTTAAATTTGCCTTTTTCTCCTTCATGATGTGGCAGCCCCTTGCTGTGACTGTCATGGGAGCATCACTTCCAGATGTGTCTTGGCCTGTCGTCATCCTGAGAAGGGCAAGGAGGAAATTTTGACCTCACTTCTGTCCTAGAGATGAAAGGTGAAAATATCCAGACTTCAGTCACATTTGAATAGATATGAGAACAAAAATTTTCTAAATGCCATCTATTTCTTGAGCATTTCCAATTTTTAAAATCTTTTTCCTTTTGCAGACTGAACGCAAAAAGTTGTGCTCTTCCTTGTGTGTTATCAGTTAAAATGTGGGTACCTGACGCTGCAGTCTAATAGAGATTAATGACGTGACAGAGTAACCATCCTCTAACCCAAATAAGCAGTGTACCCAGCACGTGCTGTTCACAGCAAGGATTTAACAGGCTAGAAAAGTCTTCTAATTTCTAACTACTGTGTCAAATTTTCCTTTGGGACTTGGACTACAGGCTTTCAAAACGTATCTCTTCCTTGTCCTGTGCAGACATTAGTTGATATTTGAAAAGTCTTCCAGCCAGTTTAATTTTTGCAGTATTCTGCAGTCATCTCCAAGAAACTTTCAGGTCAGCTGAAAAAATACTTAGTCTGATATGAGTAAGAGCAACATGTCTTTCTTTTCCCCTCTTGTCTGCAAAGCGTCAGGCCCAGGCTTTAAAGGTTGCTGGCAGAAACTTGAATTTCTGTGACAAGCTTTGGTTGTTTTGGGGTTGGGTTTTTTTCCCAGTGAGAAGTGACAATCAAACAGTGTTAAGAGGACAGAACACATGAGGAGATAGTGGTGGGTGGCCCTGAAAAGATTAGAGCAGGTAGATGGATGCCT